TTAAGTATAATTTTAGTGGTTTGTAAAGTGGGTCCAAATGTTTTTTATCAGCTACTTCTATGGAGAATCTTTCCCAACAATATAATTTATTCAGATTTAGGGAAAAATCATTATTAAAAATTCATTCACAGGAATTGCTTATGGCTATTCAATGCATAGAGCCAGATATAAAATATTATATGGGTGAAAGCAAGATTGAGGGTCTCACTAAAGCATTGAAAGAGACTTTATTTGGAAGCTTTTACAAATTCAATTTTAACACCCTTTCTATTTTTTTTTTATATAGTTACATAATGTAAAGAAAATATTTTTTCACCAAGCCCCATACAGATGCCCACAAAGCCCCTCCAGTTTGGCTCAATGTGCCATATAAATATTATCCTCTATGTGGGCCATAGCATGGAAAAGTTTGGAAAGGACTGACCTACCAACATTTATTTTACATCAATTTTCTTTTCTTGCTGGCATAACTCACTTTTCACCATACAGAATGAAAAAACCAACATTTGTTGTCCCATATGTTTTGCCTAGTGGGGAGTCACGTGGCCCAATCTTGGCCAATGGAACCTGTGGAGAAAATTCCTGAGGACTTGAAATAAAGATTTGCTTTCCTTAGAAAATCCGATCAACCCCAGAAAACGCTCATCTTATTCACTGAACGTGGTATCTTTGTTCCTAGCGATACCAGAACTAATGCAGCCATGTATGACCATAAGGCTAAATGTTGCTGATATGTTGAGGATATCGGCATGGAAAGATGAAAAGCACAGAAGCCCCCAAAATTTGTTGAGCAACTAAATGAACCTGGAATATCTCTGCCTCTGTGTATGTATTAGTCTGTTCTCTCATTGCTTTACAGCAATGAGAAATACCTGAGACTGGATAATATATAAAGAAAAGAAGTTTAATTGGCTTGTGGTTCTGCAAGCTGCACAGGAAGCAGAGTGACTCCTGCTTCTAGGGAGGCCTCAGGAAACTTACAATCATGGTGGAAGGTGAAGGGGAAGCAGGCACATATAACATGGCTGGAGCAGGAAGAAGAGAGAGAGGGGGGAGGTGCTACACACTTTTAAGCAACCAGATCTCATAATAACTCACTCACTTACTATCACAAGAACAGCACTGAGGGGATGGTGCTACCCTATTTATAAGAAATCTGCCCCATGATCCAATCACCTCCCACCAGGCTCCACCTCCAACACTAGGGATTACAATTCAACATGAGATTTGCTGGGGACACAGATCCAAACCATATCACTCTGGTTATATAAGAAAATAAACGTCGTTATTTCAGCTCATCCTATTTGGGTCTTCTGTTACTTGCAACCACAGAATGTTAGTTAATAAACCCACTTGTAGTTTTAAAGCATGACCCCCAAATTATTTGACACTTCTCCCATTGAGAAGTGGATTCTGTGTCCCCTCCCCTTGAATCTGAGTGAATGTTTCAATGATTAGAGTATGGTAGAAGGGCCACTGTGTAACTTGTGACACTAGGTGATAAAAGGTGACATATCTTCTGCCATGCTCAATGGAACACTCATGCTTGGAGCTTTGAGTTGCCATGTAAGATATCTGGCCACCCTAAGACTGCCATGATGGGAAGAAGCCAATCCACTAGTTGGGGCCATGTGTTGTTGCTCCAGTTGGCGGTGCTAATATTTGATTTATCCAAGCCCAGATATCAGACATGTGAATGAACAAGTCTTCAGATGATTCTGGTCCCCACTATTGAATTTCCTCCAGTCTTTGAGTCTCCCCACCTGAGGCCCCAGACATTGCAGAGCAGAGGCAAGTTATTTCTGCTGTGCCTTGTTCAAATTTCTGATCAAAAGAATCCATGAGCATAATACAGTAAATAAACTGCTAAATTCTGGGGTAATTTATTACACAGGAATGATAACTGGAACAACACTTCTTCATCTCACTTTATATGCATCATGAATGATCACATAACACAAACTTGAGATGTGCTGGTGCAGCCCTTGCAGTATTAAGATTAGGTAACTTAAGGATTTAACCCACCCAGGCATAGAAACAGTTCTTTAGGGAAATAAAACTGATGATGTTCACAAAGACACTACGAATCCTTCTCATGAATAGACTGCTGGAGTTGCTCATAGGATGAAAACTTTGGTAAAAAGAAATTCTTTTTCTTTTTCTTTTTTTTTTTTTTTTGAGACGGACTCTCACTCTGTCACCCAAGCTGTAGTGCAGTGGCCGGATCTCAGCTCACTGCAAGCTCCGCCTCCCGGGTTGATGCCATTCTCCTGCTTCAGCCTCCCGAGTAAAGAGGATGCGCTTCCTCTGTGATTACAGTCACTTTTCTGCAGTAACCCTGCACGATCCACAGCTTAGGAGAACCAATAACAAACACCATATTGTCAAGTAAACAGTTCTGTTTGGTTCTAAGTTCATAAAATAAGAGCCTGAGATTCAGAAGCCCAGGAGTCCAGGTAACACCTATGTGTCCTATAGAAGTTACTTTACCTTTTCACCTTCAGTTTTATTTGTAAAATAAGGGAGTTGGACTAGAAGACTAATGGTTTCCAACTTTCATTCTGGGGAGCAAAATAGAAGTGTTGTGGTTGGCTGAATAATGCTCCCCCTCAAAGTTGTCCACATCTGAATTCTGAGCATCTGTGAATATGATACAGAGTGCAAAAGACACATGGCATATGTGATTAAGTTAAGGGTCTTGAGAGGGAAACAGGAGGGCAAGAGTTATACATCTCTCCTTTGTAGAGATGCCTCACATCTCCTTTGAAGCAGAGGCAAGACAGGAGAAAAGATACTGCTGGCTTTGAATTTGGAGGAAGGGGTCATGAGCCAAGGAATGCAGGCAGTCTCTAGAAGCTGGAAAAGGCAAAGAAACAGAGTCTGCCCTGGAGCCTCCAGAAGGCATGCAGCTCTATGGGCCCATTTTAGACTTCTGACCTCCAGAACTGAGGCAGGAGAATAGGGTCAGGATGCAGGGAACTTAAAACTGTTTCACGCGGACTTCCTAGAACTAAATTGAAAGGAAAACCCTGGCCGGGCGCAGTGACTCATGCCTGTAATCTCAGAACTTTGGGAGGCTGAGGCAGGCAGATCACCTGAGGTTGATGAAGTCGGGAGTTCGAGACCAACCTGACCAACATGGAGAAACCCCGTCTCTACTAAAAATACAAAATTAGCTGGGCGTGGTGGTGCATGCCTGTAATCTCAGCTACTCAGAAGGCTGAGGCAGGAGAATTGCTTGAAACCGGGAGGCGGAGGTTGCGGTGGGTGAGCCGAGATTACGTCATTGCACTCCAACCTGGGCAACAAGAGAGAAACTCTGTCCCAAAAAAAATAAAAATAAAAATAAAAGGAAAACCCTAACCTTCCATGCCTAAGTAACAAAAGGACCAGAGGCTATTCTTGCAAACCCCCACCTTTTCTGCGGGGCAGATGGGAAATTTAAACTACCTCTGATTGGTTGCTTTTTACAACCAATTAGACATTTGCAAATTGTTTTTTGCAACCAATCAGACACTTGCATAGGAGTGTGACTTTGTAACTTCAGCCTCTGATTGGTTGCTGTCTGCAACCAATCAAACTGATTATGGGCCAAGTCTTTGAATAGAAGTGCAACTTTGTAATTTCATTTTAGCCTCTGATGGTTGCTTTCTTGCAACCAATCAGATGTTTGCATAAGAGTGTGGCCTTTGTAACTTCACTTCAGCCTCTGATTGTGGGCTACTATTTCATTTACATGGGATGCACACCAAGTGGCCAATGGGAAACCTCTAGGGGGTATTTGAACCACAGAAGATTCTGGATCCCGGCCCTTGAGCAGCTTCTCTGCCCACTCCCACCCTGTAGAGTGTACTTTCGTTTTCAATACATCTCTGCTTTTGTTGCTTCATTCTTTCCTTGCTTTGTGCGTTTTATCCAATTCTTTGTCCAAAGCGCCAAGAACCTGGACACTCTCCACTGGTAACAGAACTGTAAGAGAACAGATCTGTGCTGCCTTAAGGCACTACATTTCTGGTAATTTGTTACAGTAGCAATAGGAAAATAATACCGTGGTTAAGAGCTTGGGCTCTGCTATCAGACTACTTGAGCTCAAGTCCCTTTTCTACACCCTACTGGATGTATGACCTTGGGCAAAATTAAATTCTCTATACCTCAGTTTCATCTTGATAAAAGCAGTGATGGAAGAATTAACTCTTCTGACTTATTGTGAGGTTTTGAGGAAGTGTCTAGGATCCTCTGGAAATTAGTAATTTATTTTAAAATTACTAATTTAAAATTACTACATTTATTTTAAAATGTAGCCATTGTTCTCTTGCTGAGAAGCATCTACTTTAGGAGCCGTGTATACAGCATCTCATCTGATCCTTACAACCAGTAGTGAAATAGGTATGATGGTAAGTTTCCATATGAGAAAACTGAGGCTGTGGGAGGTGAATTTTTCCAAGTAACATAGCTAGTAAGTGGACAAATCAAAGTGACTGATTTACCACGAAATTAACTACATTTATGTGCCAGATGATGGTGAATGAACAAATACATGCAAGTAATCACAGCAGTGGGCACTCAACCAATAGTGTGGAGTCTAGACTAACTGCCACAGGTCACCCCATCTGATCCACACTGGCGACATTCCCAGTTCTTTAACATTCATCCCTTGTTTCCAGAAAGGGCAGAGGAAGCAAGGAAGAAGTGCGTGGCCTGAAGTGACGCCTGGCGTTGCCCGGAGCCCGCCCAGCGCTGCCAGGTGACGCCACTGCGACACAAAGGCGGGGAATGCGTAGGGAAAGGCCCTAGGCCATAAACGGGGGTGGGGCCTCCCCGGAGGCCAGTGCGCGGCCGCGGTGCTCCACCGGCGCGTCGCTCCGCCCCCAGGGAGAGCCGGCGCTACCATGGAGGAGTACCATCGCCACTGCGACGAGGTACCGCCCCTTGGCTACCTGGGAGCGCCCCCCACTCCTGCCTTCCTCTGCGCGGGGCTCTTGCCGAGTGGTCTTCCAGCGAGGGCGGCCCCAAGAGTTGGGGTGCGGCGTCCTCCGAGCCCGGGTCCTCTCCGCTGGGCCAGGGACCCGCCCCGCCCTACCCGTTCTCCCCACTCCGAAGTCCTGAGATTCGGGGTGGCAGGGGTGGCCAGGAGCGCGCGGATCAGACGGTGGGGTCGGGGCAGGGTTGGGAGGACGAGGCCTGACTTGGGTGCGAGGAGTGGGCATGGGGTGACGGGCGCCGCCCTCCTACCGGGCGGGCCTTGAAAACGGGTCTTCCCGCTGCTTCCTCCGTCCCTTGGCTTCCTCAGTGCAGGTGCTGCAGCCCCCATGGCTCGGGGTCTCGGGGTCCTGGTGGCACTGCCACTCCTGCTCCCGGTAATGCTTGCCTGGGTGGGCTGGAAGGAGGTGCTTTATGGATTACGAGCCCTTGCTTGCTGACTCAGGCTTTCCCCACCCTCACCAGAACCCCATAATATCAGTTGTCATCTTCCTGTTATTGATGGGGACTCCAAAGAAAAGACTTAAGTTGTCAGACTACTGTATAGTACTAAAGTGATATTAATCTTGAGTTATTAAGTATTTTCATAGTCTTTAATTTGGGAAAGGTATTTTTGCCTATAAATTTTTGCCTAGCATAAGTTAAAAACAAAATTGAAAATAGTCTATTAAGCATTCTCTTCTTATGAACCACTTCGTTCTCTCACTTAGCTGAAACCATATCTATATTCTTATAACACATAACATCTTCATAGCCACCTCTTGCTTATTTCCTACGTGTTACAATACAATGATTCTTAATCTAGGATGTTCATTAGAATCACCAGTATAAAGCACTTTTAAAAAAATATATAGACTTGCAGGCTCTCCCCAGACCTCATGAGTCAATCTCCAGGGAGGTAGGTAGGGAAAACATTCAGTATTTTTAAGTGTTTAGAGGCAAGATTGGCCCCTTCTGTAGACCCGATGCCCTTTATCACTGTGGTCTCCTGTCACTAACACCTGTCTAGGCCAGCCTAGGATATTCTGTGTAGCGTCATATCTGCAAGCCTGTGTTGAAAGCAGCTTTACCTTTTGTTTCCCCTTTAGGTTGGCTTCAATGCTGAGGAAGCCCACAATATTGTCAAAGAGGTGAGTCATACATTTTGCTTCTCTTGAAGCTTGCTGCATTGGTGGAGACTTTTAAAAGCTATATTTTGAGTTTCAGTACAAACTTAGAAACCTTACTGTTAAAATAACAAGATTTTGCTTTATTTTATTTTATTTTATTTTATTGTTTTTTGAGACAGAGTCTTGCTCTATCGCCCATGCTGGAGAACAGTGGCACGATCTCGGCTCACTGCAACCTCCACCTCCTGGGTTCAAGCAATTCTCCTGTCTCAGCCTCCCAAGTAGCTGGGACTACAGGCGTCCACCACCACACCCGGCCAGTTTTTGTATTTTTAGCAGAGATGGGGTTTCACCATATTGGTCAGGCTGGGTTCGAATTCCTGACCTCAGGTGATTCACCTGCCTTGGCCTCCCAAAGTGCTGGGATTACAGGCGTGAACCACCACACCAGGCCAAGAACAATATTTTAAATATTTATCCACTCATTCTTTATAGGGGTCCTTCTGTGTTTTGTTGTGTGCTATCAGCATCTTGGGGCTTATTCTGAAAGAGATGCTTAAGGATTTTCTTAGTCTAGAAAACTGGTTTAAAATTGATGCCCTGTCTTTTGGATAAAATAACTTTTATTCCAGAAGGCGAACATTATTTTAAATGTTAATGCTATAAAAGTATATGTATGTGTATATATATATGTGCACACATGTCAACTTTTATAATGTAAAGTATATGTATAATATATATGTATATTATGTAAAATAGATAACAAAAGCCCTAGAAATATCTGCCTTTGGGCATGTACACTTTTTTGCCCAATATAATTGGAGAAATGATCACTTAACATCTTTTAAACATTGATATGATAGTAAATCAAAATTTTAAGAAAAATATTTGAAACTCCTTTTAGGCAAATAGAAAAGAAATTGTCTTTGGGAGTTAATTCTGCAGGGGAACTTTCATTATTTTAGAGGTATCACATACAGACTACAGTATGGGAAAGGTATTTTTTTAACACCCAGGTATTTTTAATTCTGGCCTTACACAGCGAGAATTAACTCAAGGTCTGAGAGGACTAGACAGGCACCTGAAAATCCTGCCATATTTTAATCCTTCAGAATTATGCGTTCTATCTATGTAGCCTTGGAGTATTTAATTATTAAAAGTAGAAAGCAAAGGTTTTTAATACCTTTACAATGTAAAAGCACAAATGAGGGAAACTGGGAGGTGGAAGAAGGAGTGGAGGTAATGAGAAGGGAGTGATCTTAGTTTTCAAAGTGGAAAGTCGGAAAGACTGTCCTTGGTTGATGGAACATAGAAGAAAGAATGCTGCGTTATTTGGGATTCCATTTAAATAGTGCCTTCTTCCTTAAGTTCTGAACCAAATGAAAAGAAAAAGGAGCCAATAGAAAGAGAACAAAATACCACCTTTATTACTGATAAAAACTAGTTTGGTGATTGTAGCTTGTTTTGCTAACTCCCATTCAGTTCAGCCCTGGGAAGAGTCATCCAAGAGAAAGTTTGAGTCAGCAGAGAGAAACACTTGTTCAGGCTGGTGCCTTTCATTTGTTTGGGTGGAGAGGGAAGGAGAAACTAAAGCCCAAGTTCAACACATTTGGGAGACTGGCTCTCCCAAATGAGATGTTAGAACAATGGTTATCACCCACCAACCAGGTAGCTCATTTCACCTCCATGGGGAGGAATAACTGACAGGACAAGAGGCCAGGAATGTTAAAGAACAATCCTCTGTGTGGAAGAAAACATCTAGAGTGGAAAAGAAACATGTTTCTAACAGTGTAAATAGACTTAAGTTAAAAAATTGTGATTTCACTTATATTGAGAGAAGGGGGCGGGTAGTCTGAGGGAACCAAATTCTCATCTATCATAGTAGGAGTTATATGGATGTTGCCTATAATTCATAAATCAGGAAATAGTGACATAAACATTATTTGGAGATACGTAAGTAACCCTTAGAAGAAATAAAAACAGTTGTACACTGATGAGTTTCCTCTGGGGAATGGGACTGGGGATGGGAAAGGAAAGGGTGGGAAGGAGACTCTTTGCGTTCTAAGCTTTTCTGTTCCACTGGATTTTTCAAACCATATGTCTGTTACTTTAATATTATGTCAAATTAAAAGAGTCATGCTTTTTCAACTGGGAAATGCATACTCGGCAGTGGCTAGGTGGTGCTAGAAGTCACTGGATGCATTTTGGATCATCAGTTTTTCTTGAATATTTGTGAGAGGGAGTTAAGTAATATAAGTAATGTAACTGAAAACGTTTTTAAATAAAAACAAACTCTGATGCATTATGTAGTCAAAAGGAAGCTTCTCTTGAATTTTTATATGAAATATGAGACTACAAAGAAACTCAGCTTTGCTACAGGTTACTTGCAGCTAAACGTCTATCTTTCCTCTTCCCATGAACCAAGCCTCTTTTGCCATTGAAACACTTCCACTGAGGCATTGGAAATGCCTGAGAATGAGCAACATTTTAAAACAGTTCAGCACTTCCTAGATGATTACATAATTTCAGCAGTTATTTCTGATTTCCTTACTGATCTTATTGTCTTATTAATCTTATATTTTCTTTCCTTTGATTTCTTGCTCTGAGCCCCTGTGCTGATATGTTTTTCCTTCTGAACTCAGAGACACCCATTTATCAGTAATATGCATACATTTTCTTTATTGTTAGTAATAGAAATTGCTTCCCAATAAAATCATCAAAGAAAAAATGAGCTACAAATGAAATTAACTTAGAACTTAGTCTAAAGTGTATTTAAGATACCCAGCGAGTATATCAAAATCAATATTGCTTCAACAACATTTGTTGAATACCTGCTAAGTGCTAAGTTTAGCGCTGAGAATACAGAGCTGTTTAAGGACCTCATTGTCTCATGGGCCTCCGTGTTAATGTAATTAATTAGGCTAAATGTTAATTAATAGTAATTAGCAGGGCTATTTCCAGTGGCACCCACACCCCATGGTGTTTTCTGCTGTTTAGAGCAAAACTTGGAGTGGTCCTACTAAATAACCTGAAAGAAAAATGAGTGCTCTTACTTTATCCTTAAGGAAAGGTGATCTCAAGAGAGGAATAGGTTTGTCCGAAGGTCACCAGCTTAGGAATGGTAAAGCCAGAATTAAAATTCTATTCCCCTGATCCTTAAGCCACTACCCTTCTTACTTTCTCATGTTATTGAGCTTTCTAGGAGAAAAATTTGAGCCACATTACTTTTGTCAACCCTGCTAAAGTATTTAATTTCTCTTTTTATATTTCATCATTAGTGAAGATTTTATACTATCCAACTTAAGATTTTGTAGTAGTGCCTTTATAAATATTTACTGTGGTCTAATCATAGTAAATAAAGCTGCATGTGTGTGTATGTGTGCATTATTGAGCTAGATTCTAAAAATGAATTAAATGAGTCTAATTATAGTAAATGAAGGTGCATGTGTGTGTTAGATTCTAAAAATGAATTAAATGAGTGCTTTATTATCCAATTTTAATCACTCAAATGTAAAATATAACAGCAGCAATATGATAATAGTAGTTAACATTGTTTATATGCTAACTCTGTGCTAGTCACTGAGCACTTGGTATTCATTGTCTCATTTCATCCTAACAGCAACCTGGTAAGATGATGCTGTTATCCTTTCTATAAGGATTAGGAAAATAGGGATTTGAAGGGGTTAAGTCACTTGCTAAAGGTCACACAGCAGATAGGTGTCAAAGCAGGCCTTAAAACCTAGGATTGTGATACTAGAGCCAGTGCTTTTAATCAGGCATCAGAAGTGGATGAAATTAAGCACTATGGGAAATTATGATATTTGACTTTATCTTTCTAGAACACTTTTATTTACTTTCAGTGGTGGGTGTGCTAGTTGTTTCATAGCTAAACAATCACATAGTATGAATGAGAATATAATTATTATGCATAAGAATTATGTTTTTAAATTAGTCCCATCCTGTTTCTAGCACGTGAGCCCTAGTTCAAATCCCAGCTATTTCAAAGCTACTTATTAACCAATTGATATCACCTTTTAATTTCTCCACCACAATTTTATTACATAATTTATCATTAGTCTTCCTAGTGTTATATATATTTGAATTTTTTATTAGCTTCTCTGCTAGATTAAGTTATTTACACAGAAACCATGACATATTTATCTTTATATGGCCCATAGTATCTCATAGAGTGAGATAATGCATGTGGAAACTCTTTCAAAACTCTTAAGCAATTAGAGACAGTGCGTAATCAATATTTACCAAGTGTATATTTTCTAAGATGCCTTATTGAGCTATAAGTATATTTTATGTTTTCAATAAATTTTTCACTGCAATTTGTGTAAAACTTGTTCTTTTTGAACAGTTTTACTGACTAAATTAACTGTCCTCTGTGCCCTTTTAGTGTGTAGATGGGGTTTTAGGTGGTGAAGATTATAATCACAACAACATCAACCAGTGGACCGCAAGCATAGTGGAACAATCCTTAACACATTTGGTTAAGTTGGGAAAAGCTTATAAATATATTGGTAAGTATCAGTATCCTTCCTCACTAGTTCACTTGCCTTTGTCATTGTGATTTTCTCTGAATTTTGAGAAGGTATATGAACAATAGACCTTTAAGTTGGATACTAACAGGGTATAAAGGACCTTCTGATTTACTTATTCAAAGATAAGCTATAATAATACTTAAAAGATGAAGATCTTTCACTACTCAAAGGCAGTTTGAGCTGCTTGTCTTTGGTAGCATCACCCTTTGCATTTCCATCAGTTCTTTCTTTCCACTGAGACCCCCCTCTTAGCTCAACTGTGTTTCTTTCAGTAGTCCCATGCCTCTTTATCTGTGATTCCACACAGCAGCTGTTTATAAAGTGGAACATTTCCTGCATTTCTGTGTCTGAAAAATGGCAATGGTCAGAAAACCAACTGAATCCAGTGGGGTCAAAATCATGATGCTAGATAAAGATGAGAGGCTTTTATTTATTTATTTATTTTTCAATCTATTTGCTGAATGCTTTGTTTTCTGTTATTTTTTATTTTTATTTTTATTTTTTTTAAAGCTTGTAGAGCTCTGAACTCACACACTTTGACCTTGGTTCTCTTTCCCTTTGTCTGTAAGTGTCCTCATTCTGTGACTTTATTTGCAGTGACCTGTGCAGTGGTCCAGAAGAGCGCATATGGCTTTCACACAGCCAGCTCCTGCTTTTGGGATACCACATCTGATGGTAAGAGATCTTAAGCTGATTTACACAAAATCCAACTTTTAGCAAAGTCCAACTGCACTTTTTAATCAAATACTTATTTAATTCTAATTAAATTCTGAAAAGACTATCAGCAGTATTGCTTTGTACCTAGTAACAAGTATACCTTCAGACCGGTGTGAAATGTGAAAACTTAACAGGTTGAAGGAAATAAGATATTAAAACATGAGAAAAATGTGTGTGTATATGTGTGTGTGTGTGTATATATATATATATACTCTGATAATTTTTACGTTTTGCTGGTATTTCAAAATCCTTTTTTTGTGTGTTTCAGGAACCTGTACCGTAAGATGGGAGAACCGGACCATGAACTGTATTGTCAATGTTTTTGCCATTGCTATTGTTCTTTAACTGACTAAAAATGTTGGGCTAAAGCCATTAACTTAGGAATTTGTCAGTGTATCCTTTCCAAAAAGAGTAATAGTTGTTTACTAGTGTGCTAGATGACAAGCGTGCAATATGCTTTAAAGCTATCAACAAAAACTGATATTATCAGCAAGCAATATCATAGTCATTGGCAGATTAGCTCATATTCTATACAGCGTCATTTAAATAGGAAAAATGTAATGCTAGCAAAAAATAAATTTAGAAATATGGCATGACATGAAAATACAATCTTACATTTACACCAGCTTTTCACTAATATTTTGTACCTAAGGTGATGGGGAACTACATTCAGATAATAAAGTTCTCTTTCAGCTAGAGAAGTTAACAGGAATAAATATATGAACAAAAAAGCTACAAGGATAAATGTGGAGAAAATGATAAGAATTAGCTAACATCTTTTAGTTTTTTAAAACTTTCTTCCCCTCACTTAGTTGTACTTAATATTTAGTGGAAAGTAATAATTTTTTTTAAATTTTCTATCAACGAATAGGATAGTAACAACTATGATTAACTTGTTTACTTTTTATGAGGTTTAGTAAATCAATTTTTTTAAAATTTCAAATTTTTGGATTTACACTTGAGGGTAAATTAAATCTGGTGAACTGAATTTCCTAGTTAAATAAAATTAGTTGCAGTATATGATGAACAGTAATGACTCAAACAGCTGCCTTACAATTCACTCATTCCATGTGGAACAAACATTTATCAGATGCCTATTATGGGCATATGTCTCTGCTAAGCACTATAGTTGTCAATGTGCTGTGCAAATGCTAAGTTCCTTTTAGCAATTGTTCAGTTGGAAGACAAGTATTAATATTTGGGGAAGGAAAAGAAAATAGTTGTTTTACAAGGGAGGAAAAAAGTGAATCTGGTTACACGTATAGAAGTAAGCAAAATGAAAAGCACTTACTGTTTTCTGACAGAATTATAGATGTAATTTTAAGAGTTGCTCCTAGCAAGTTAAAAGTGCATATAAAATATGCAACTCTTAGTTAAAGGCCTTATTATCAGTCTTATCTATACAAGTAGTAAATTTTGTCATTGCTTTAGTTACAACCATCTGTAAATAATTTAAAAGACTTATTATATGGGGTTCAAATTGAGTGGAATAAAGTATAGATTAAAAGTATACAATCATTAGCACGTTATCTCAGGGCTTATGAAATGTAATTAAATTTATTAAGAAAATAGATGAAAATTAGGGTACACAGCTGGCCACCAAATGTGAAGTCAATCTGCTACTTAACCCTGAAAACAAAATCAGTTTTGCCTATTACCACTAACACTAATACATATAGAGAGTGGAACCATAACTCATTGAATTTTGGAGAGGAATAAGCTTTGTGTTAATATTGACAATATTAAGGCAATATTCTTGTAGGAATACTATGTGCATGTTTGATATTTTGCCGAATAACCATAATTAATAATTGTTCAATGTTTAAGAATAGTAATAACAAAATAAAGGAGTTTAATGCAGTGATCTTTGTTTTTGGCACATCAAAAATTCTCAGTCATTATTCATGTTTCTTTATGCTGCTGGCTTTTGTGCCCTGGAAGAGTATAATAGTGACCAAAATATATATGCAGACTTGTTTTTTATTATTGTTGTTTAAGCCTAATTTAAGAAAAAAAAAAATCATACCTCGTGAACTTGCTATCTGCTCTGTTTCTAGTTAAAATATAATAAATATTATCTTCCTGTGCTGTACTTTTGCTTCTGGATAATCATTTAATAGTTAGAGAAATGGCATTCTGCTTGCTATGAGAAATTCTAAATAGAAGAAATGCTGGGGGTGGTGGCTCACACCTGTGTAATCACAGCACTTTGGGAGGCAGGTGGATTATTTGAGGTCAGGAATTTGAGACAAGCTTGGCCAACAGGGTGAGGCCCCGTCTGTCTTAAAAATACAAAAATTAGCCAGGCATGGTGGCACACATCTCTAATCCCAGCTACTCAGGAGGCTGAGGCAGGAGAATTGCTTGAACCTGGGTGGCGGAGATCGCAGTGAGCCGAGATCACACCACTGTACTCCAACCTGGGCGACAAACCAAGATGAAAGAAAGAAAGAGAGAGAGAGGAAGGAAAGAAGGAAGGAAGGAAGGAGGGAGGGAGGGAGGGAGGGAGGAAAAAGAAAGAAAGAAAAAGAAAGAAAGAAGAAAGAAAGAAAGAAAGAAAGAAAGAAAGAAAGAAAGAAAGAAAGAAGAAAGAAAGAAGAGAAGAAAGTGAAAGAAAAAGATATTATGCAGAGATAAATATCTCATTAGTAGTAGCAACCCGTCCAATTGCATTGCAACATAATTAATAGCTTCTATTTATACCACTGCTTTACTTTCTGATTTTAACACAAAATTTCATTTTCATAAGTCAGTGTAAATGTATTCTGCTAACTTCTTTACAGGTGTATAAAATGATTATTATTTTACAAAGGGATTTTCTTGTTTGTCAACTTACAATTGTGTTGTTAAGTGAGCATTTTAATTAAGGACTTTAGAGACTTTTGTAAAATTGGTGTATTCAAAGGATTTTGTAACATTCTAATTTTATGTTTCTTTGCAAACTCTTGCTCACATTCCTGCCTAAATAAGTGTGTGAACAACCTCCTCATTTACGTTTCTAGTGAAATTGCTTTTATGTCTTTTTTGTTATTATTGCTCTTATTGCCATTACATTTGCATTCTTTTCCCTTCCGGTTTAAACCACGACGTCACAAAGGTTGATCTTTTATTTTTTATATTAAGTATTGCTTTGGTCATTATAAATTTTTCAGAAAAAAAATTTCTAACGTGTTTATCTTTTGCATTCAACTTTGTTTGTTGACGGTTCGTTAACTTCCCATTTCACGCCTTAACAACTAAAAGCTGAAAATTTTTGTTTGGTTTAAGCAGGAGTAAGATCATTTTCAAGGCTCTGGGTGGAGATTACATGTATTACAGTGTTATCATTTAATGTGGCTGGCTGGTGTGATAACTCTCTCAAGAACTTGATGCCTATTCAATTGAAAAGCTTTACCTCTGAATTAAAGTAAGCCACTTTGGAGTCCAAGGCATTTTTTTGAGTGGTTGAGCTTTTGCAGTTCCCAGAGGGTTCAAATATTGCTCAAGAATTTAAGTGTCACTCTTGGTATTTTGGTGAGCCAGCCTTCCATACTTTAAGCTTCCCCGGGAGATCTTTGTGGGTCTTGTTTGTTGACTTCTCTTTTGTTCAACATTTTGCCAGTTCAGTGATTGCTCTCGAAGTATTTCTGGGTGTGGAAACCAGCTGCTTTACCATTTCAACTAATTTTCTATTTTTAGTAGAGATGGATTGCCTGTGGCCAGGACGTTGGCTCCCAACTCAATGATATCCACAAAGAAAGAAAGAAAGAAAGAAAGAAAGAAAGAAAGAAAGAAAGAAAGAAAGAAAGAAAGAAAGAAAGAAGAAAGAAGAAAGAAAGAGAAAGAAAAAGAATATTATGCAGAATAAATATCATTAAAATAGCAACCCAAATCCAGTACATTACAACATAATTAATAGCTTCTATTTTATGCCTTTTACTTTACGATTTTAACACAAAATTTCATTTTCATAAGTCAGTGTAAAAATATATTCTGTAACTACTACAGATTATTTTTAATGATTATTTTTTGCAAGGGATTTTTTCTTATTTGTCAACTTACAATTGTGTTGTTGTTTTTAATTAAGGACTTTAAGTTTGTAAAATTAGGGTATTCAAAGGATTTTTGTAACATTCTAATTTTATGTTTGTAAAGTACCCATACGCTGCCTAAATGATGGCAACCTCTCATTACGATTTCTCTAGTGAAAGTACTTTCTGCTCTTCTTTCCAAGTTGAGTGTTACCTAATTATGATTCATTGAATATATTATTACTACCTGCTTTCATCATCACATTCTTTAATCCTAGTATGTCCAGGATTATATTTTCAAAGTTTGAGTAAAAATAGTTCTCTATTTTTGATAACAGTTTTTTTTTTTTTAAGTGGGAGAAATGTGTGTGACTTTTTGTGGCAGAAGTCATTCTTATAGCAGATACCAAAGCAAAGATTAAGGCTGGGCATGGTGGCTCATGCCTGTAATCCCAGCACTTTGGGAGACTGAGGCAGGTGGATCACCTGAGGGCAGGAGTTTGAGACCAGCCTGGCCTACATGGCAAAACCCTGTCTCTACTAAAAATACAAAAATTACCTTGGTGTGGTGGCGCATGCCTGTAGTCCAAGCTACTCGACAGGCGGAGGCAAGAGAATCGCTTGAAACCAGAGGTGGAGGTTGCAGTGAGCCAAGATCGTGCCATTGCACTCCAGCCTGGGCGACAGAGCCAGACTTCATCTCAAAAAAAATAAATTAATTAATTTAAAAAAATAAAAGATTAAGAGGTAAATAAATTTTACCTCATGTGCTAGAATCTACCCAAGGGGCATTTGTTTTATAACCTAGATAGGTGGAGCTACATTTGTGGTTAAAGAGGATTCAATGTCAAGTAATTCTGTAAAGTTAATCTTTGCACATTTATGAAATTTTTTTATTTTTTTATTTTTTGTTTTTGTAGGTGGAGTCTCGCTCTGTCGCCCAGGCTGGAGTGCAGTGGTGCGATTTCGGCTCACTGCAACCTCCGCCTGCCAGGTTCAAGTGATTCTCCTGCCTCAGCCTCCCGAGTAGCTGGAACTACAGGCACGTGCCATGACACTTGGCTAATTTTTCTATTTTTAGTAGAGATGAGATTTTGCCATGTTGGCCAGGATGGTCTTGAACTCCTGACCTCAAGTGATCCACTCGCCTCGGCCTCGAAATGCTGGGATTACAAGCGTGAGCCACCCTGCCCATCCTGCCCATCCAAAAAGATCTTAAACATTCATCTCTTAAAAGATTTAGATGACTATCATCAATATGCCTTAACATCAGTAGTTTAGGAGACTCTAGCCCACTTTGTGTATTTGCAAACTGTAATTCTCCCTGTGGTCCCACTGAATATCATTCCACATCATTCTTGGATATATATGATGTATTGACAATTCAGGTCTAGATAGAAATAGCCCCAATTGCTTCATGAAGAATGTCCTCTCCCCAAATGGCTTCTGAGGATCTCACGGTTAAAGCTAGTATCCTGTACAGACACTTGCAGGACTGCTAGTATGATATATCTCGTCCCTATGGAAGACAAAATGTGGGCAACCACCCCCATTCTGGGATCCTTAAAAGATGAGAACCATATCAGAAAGTTCCTTCACAGCTACCCCCAACTGGGTCAGGGAATTTGTTGCCTGGGCTTATCTAGTAATAAATATTCAACTTTATGGCAAATGCATACCTTTTAATTTTATTGAATGCTTTATCTTTTTAGATACATTTTTCATGAATGCCATTGGCTTAGTCGGTTTGGGCTTCTATAACAAAATACCATAAACTGGGTGACTTATAAACAATAAGAATTTATTTCTCACAGTTCTGGAGGTTGAGAAGTCCAAGATCAAGGCACTGACAGATTCAGTCTAGTGAGAGCCTGCTTCCTGCCTCATAAACGACAGCCTCTAGCTGTGTACTCACAAGGTGGAAGGAGCAAGGCAGCTCTCTGGGGTCTCTTTTGTAAGGGCAGTAATCCCAATCATGAGGGCTCCATACTCATAACTTAATCACCTACCAAAGGCCCCACCTCCCAACACCACCACATTAGTATTTAGGCTTTGACATGAATTTGGATGAGACACAAACATTCAGACCATAGCAACCAGCTTTAACTTGAGATATTTCAATCTAGATTTCTCAGGGCAGAGTTTTATATGAGGAAGTATTATTTAATGAAGATTCTGTCAATTTATTTTTATTTCTTATAAGGCCTTATGGAGAAAATCTCTTTGAAAATGATTAGATTGTGGTATGTACTGACCTTTCTATAACCTCTAATTTTGCAGGCTAGGAATTTGATATGGGTTAAGTTGCATGAATTAACATGGACTTTTGCAGCTAATGCTCATACAGAATACCACCAAAAATAGTCAGGATTGGTGTAATGGGTTCTTGGTAATTAAACAAAGCAAACTTTTTTTGTAAAAGGCCAGCTAGTAAATATTTGAGGCTTTGAAGGTTTTTGCAACTACTGAAGTATGCCACTGTAGTATAAAAGCAGCTGTTCACAAGTAAATGGATGGGTATGACTGTGTTCCAATAAAACTTTACATATAAAAATAAGTAGCAGGCTGATTAGAGTTTACCAACCCCTACATTAGAGTAAGTAATGTTTTGTGGTCACTTTAAAAATTGTACCTTAATGATTTGAGCCTTTTTGTTTTTTTTTTTTTTACTGTTATAAACAATCGAACACAAAACACATTTACCTATTATGATTTTATCATCTTGGACTCAGAGGATCCTCATCAGTAAACCAAACTTGTGATCTCTTTATTATGAGAAAGCAGGGCTATACATCAATTTTTCCAAAACTAGATTATTCCTTTTTGATACACATCACCTAACTTTTCACTAGATTACAGATTATTTTGTATCTTCTTATCTTGAAGTTTATTTTACAACCATATTTTTTGAAGAACATTATTATAAAAATTCAATACTTCGTGAGTGTTTTATTATTTTTTGCTTACTTTAGGATTAAGATGGGTATCTAGTTTGCCTAGAGAATTTTCCATGCATACTGGACATTGCAATCACGGCCCACTCAGTACCTCCTGTTAGCAGAAATTGTGTAGCCCACAGATC